CAAACCACTTGCAGCTTCTGTCCTCCGACCAGCCATGTCCTTCCCTGCCCTGGCTGGTCAGCGCCTGCCCCAGCCCCCGCCCCATTCCCTCCCTCACTGCAGGGGCCTTGATCTGTTCCCCCACACCCTTTCTACCACATCAGACTTACCAGCTGGACACGACTCTTCAAGCTGTAGAGCTGCATATCAGAAATCAGATTGGTACTTGTCCCAGCCGCCTGTGGAGAGTTCGGGATTGAGAGTATGGTTGGGGGTAGAAAGGTAAGAAAGATTTATTGACTTAACAAAAACACAACTACGTGTAGTAACAAAACAAACAATGACAGACAAAAGCAATTAGCACCGGCAACTTATTGGCAGTCCCCTCTGATGCCTGATACACAGCAAGCTTCTCTTTCCACAAAGTTCAGTGAAGTCAGGTGTCCCCGAACGACACTGTCCAAAGGGGTACCAGAAAGGACCCTGGAATGCAGATCTTGGGCTCTTCAAGGTCCACGGGCCCACTGATCCAGGCAACAGCTAACTAATTCTTTTACAGAGCTGTCTCTTCCTTCTGAATGGTTTCCAGATATTCCAGCCAATTTAAAGTTTCTGAATGGTTCTGATAATGTACAACCACTCAGATTCCTTTTACTTCAACTGTCCTTAGACTGACCAATTAGCAGTACAAGCCTTGCATTTCTTTGATAAGGTAATTTTAACTACGCTGCAGGCCTTACTACTTCAAGGCTTTGCTAAATTTACTAGGCCTTACTTTATGCAAGGCCTCACTACATCTTAAACTTTAATTAGGCTTTTAGCAACTACACAAAGCTTAATATCTAAACAAATACAGAAAAACACTTGATATAATATTCATAGAGCCTTCAGCAAGCACCTTTATCTCACAGGCACACTTTTCAGCTGTCACAGGTATTGGCCAATATGCCTCCTTAAAAATCAGCTATCAGTATTGGCCCCAAAAATCTCTATCGGTGCATCACTACTGGCAAAAAATCTTCCACTGTAGATCAAAGTTGGTATATACAGAAGATATCATAGCATAAATAAAATGTTTATATCTAGTGTTAAAAGCCTAACTAATACAGAAGTTTGCAACAGCACAGAGACAGTTACAGTACTCCATGCATTAGCAAAGCCTTAAATCATGGTACATGCAGGAAGGCTGATTCATGGTCAGGGAAAGGCTAGTACAAAATCCTACCTGTAAATCTCCTGCCTACAAAGTTGCTATGTCTGACTGCAGGCATGAATAATTCTATCTGGAGAGTCATCTACCAAGGCCTGCCAGCAACAGCGCTGAAAGCAGATTAGTGCAGATCACCAGACAGGGAATTCCT